ACGTCTAATTTTATGAGCTTTTTTTTTTTTTAACCACGAATTACTGCAGTTAAGTGAACTGCATGCGGTCATTAAATGAATCCAGCTTCCCCCGTTGACTTTGCTTCTTGGGCGCTGGCTGGGAAAATCACAAACGGTGATCACGTGACCCAGGGATTCTGCAACCATCATAATTACATACTCAGTTGCTAAGGAGCTGAATTTTGATCACCAAAACTGTTAATATATGTTACTATGCCATGCGTGATACGCCATAGGCTAAATAAATTGATCGCCAGTTCTTGGAGATGCCACAGAGGTCATAATTGCAGGACGGATTATTAAGTCAGTTTTTTCATAGCTGTTGTAACTTTGAATGGATGCTAAGCGAATGGTGTAACTTGAGGGACCACCTTTACTTCTGTGTCCATGCCATTCATGGTCCCTAAGAGACGTTGAACTTCCAACTCCCAGAATTCCTAGGGACCAAGGCCGAAAGGAATTGTGGGAGTTGATATCCAGAAGAACAGGAGGGGCCCCAGTTCAGGAAAAAGAACGACACAGCAACCTGTTGCTCAATTGGATTATGTTTAGGTTTGGATTATAATCCTGTTTTTCCTGTCGCTAAGTTGCATGGGTTGCTTGACGGGGAAAACACGAGGTGCACGGTCTTCAGCCAAATGTAGAAACCAACATCTCTTTCCATGGTGATGCCAAGAATCTTTCAGTTCTTTCTGAAGCTCTTTTTGCAAATATTTGAGAATCCAATCACCTCCTCAAACGGGAATTGGAAGCAGTTTCAGAGGATGGCCAGTTGTATTGACTGAAGCTACATATACCTGAAAGAGCAGAAATATGTTTTTGTAATTTCCACAAAGAACATACCTTTCAGTTTTGGATTCCTCATATCCCTTGTCGATTCTTTCCCACAAATTTCTGGTCTATATGATATTGCATCTCCGTTGGCTAAGTTTCAATGGAGGGTCCTTGATGATCTCTGCGTCTAGCACTGATGACGTTACTTAGTTCAGGTAAGGAAACATCTGCAAGAAAAGAACCAAGCTCAGAGAGCACCAAGGACAGAAGAGTCCTCCTCCTCTTCCTCCTGGCCCCCTTCCTCCTCCTCTCCACCAATCCTACTTCCTTCTGGCACTGATGATGTTATCTAGTTGGGTCACGAAATGTCTGCAAGAAAACCATCAAGCTCAGAGAGCACCAAGAACCCCACAGTCCTCTTCTCCCTCCTCCTCCTCTCTGCAAACCCCTCTTCCTCCTAGCACTGATGATGTTATCTAGTTGGGTCACGAAATGTCTGCAAGAAAACAACCAAGCTCAGAGAGCACCAAGGTCCCTTGAGCTACAAATATCCTCCCTTTTTTGGAGGAAAAACTTCAATTATTTCCTGAAGGGCAGTATTTTATGTTGCTTTTCTACTCATAGATAGCTTCTGGGTAATGTTCACAACGTCTCATAACCCATAACCAAGCATTCTGTTCAGCATACTTCGCACATTGCTTTAACTATGGTGGGTTTGGCCCATGATGGTTGAAGACAGATGAAAACACAGCTTACATGAAGGAGGGGCTACAAGAAGCAGTTAATCGAAGAAGTCAAGATGACGGAAGTAATTGTGGCCATCATCTTGACACCCTCTTGACCATCCCATGGAGGTGACCCTTGAGGGCCACACAGTATGGGCTTTGTAATACTTGCAGTATAGTTTTTGTGAGCCTGCGTGTGAAATCATCCCATTTTAGCCTGCCTTTCTTGAAAGATGGCCTCCCTCGGGTCAAACTTGACCAAGATTGTTGGCCTTGCTTGCTTCTTAATCCTCCTACAACAGACTCTCTCTCGTGTTTTCCTGAAAGAGGCAGGAGCTTAAGCAGCCATTACTTATTTTTTGTTCTGTGTTGTTCTTTGGCAATGTGTGTGTTTTCGTCTAGATTTACAGCTTGGGTTGTGAGTGCCCTCTTGTGGCCCTTATCCCCGGTAAGACAGTACTCTTTTTCAGCAAGAAATTGAAATACAACAAACAAAAGACTGTAACTTGACAACTTCTCCTCAGTGTCAACTTGCATCTTCTAAGCCAGGGTGTCCAACCTTGACAGCTTTAAGACTTGTGGACTTCAACTCCCAGAATTCCTCAGCCAGCCATGTTTGGTCTCCAACCTTGACAGCTTTAAGACTTGTGGACCAACTCCCAGAATCCCCCAGCCAGTCTACAAGTTGCCAAAGTTGGACATCCTTGTCCTAAGCTGGTTGGATTACCTGTGGTTTGCATCCACCATATCTTGTTGGGGATCACACAACACACAACGCCACGAAGAGTAGTTTGTAAAACCAATCTAAGCCAAAAGAAGCTACCTTATGGGATAATGTAAGGTGTGAACATACTCGGTTGGAGATCTGTCGTGAACCAACTCACTATTTTTGGCCTATCTGAAAAGATCTGCTCAGTTCCACTGGTTAAACATTGTCCTGTTACGCCCCAACCCTTGGTTCAATCATTAACTTCAGGAGGACAATAAAGATAATTTAATCATCAACAGATCTAAACTTCACTACAAATTTCTAAGGTAAATTATGCAACGGTGAGAGTTATATTTTGAAAATCCGTAGATCAGATTTTCAAAATATAACTCTCACCGTTGCATAATTTACCTTAGAAATGTACTATGGGCTAACCATCAGGAAAAATAACTCAGTCCTTGCATTGTTCCAAAACCATTGTGTGAAGACAGATCGTGGTATTTTGTTCACCAAACCGGGATTAAGCAAACCATAACTTGGGATACAAGCAATCTAAGATAACAGACTGCTTATGCCTGCCCCCCCCAAAAAAAATCCCAGAGGTGCCCCCAATTCAGCCTTGGCAGCTTTTAAACCTATTTAGCTTTTAATAGGTAAGCAGTTACATTTGGATCCAGAATCACAGGAAAAATTAACATTGTGGTATAAAACCAAACCTGAAGACTTCAGGGAAGATAAACTCTTGAACACTTGAGTCAGACAGGATAAATTACTTAAATCAATTTATTTAGCATGATGGTTGCAACGAGAGATGATCTTGTGAATGGGATTTAGCTTTCAATTTCTCCTTTGGAAGATGTACATTTAAAACAGGAACTGATGCTTTGTTTATATTTACTTTAATCACCAAGAATATATGTGGCCTTTTTCTCATTGTCTATTAGGATTATTATTTTTCCCCCTGCTGACATTGTCGCGGTGTGTATTCCATGATTTAAAAAATATTTTTTTAAGAATTAAAAGGTGTGATTTCCCCAGTGGGTTCTCAGAAGGAACGGCTCGTAATGTTTATTGTGAAAACACACACAGCCCACCTTTGCGAGGTAGGACCGCCATCGGTAGCCAGTTAAACATCAACCCGAGCAAAATCGCATGTCGTATGCCAACTCTTTGGAAATAAATCTCCAGTGTACCGGTAAAGGGCAAAAGGTAGTTTTTCTATCGCTCCAAAATAACACCGCTTTGTTGATGGGGCAGAGGTTGGCCGATTATTTTAATGTAACTTAGATGCAGCTTTCAGAAATTAGTTCAGAAACAGCAAAACACAACTAACAAATCTCGGTCTGCATTAGGGATGGGCAAAATCCATGGATCCAGAAAAGGAACGTTGTAGAGCCTTGTGCAGAAGAAAAAAAATGGAATATTCCACCCTTCTCTTCCAGAATTTCAGTGGTCTCTGGAAATTTGCTCTCCAAACTGGAAATTGTTTAATGCTAAGGATAAAACAGCCTTGTTTTGGAGCTGGGTCAACAAAGGTTGCCCTCTGTGCCCAGGTTAGGCTGAAATTCTTAGAAGTCCTCTCATAAATGGGAAGGAAACCAAAGAGTTAGGATCTTCGTTGACTTCTTATGTTAGTTTTGAAGGAAGTGGACCTGAGGTCAAATCATTAGGAAGGTCTAAGCTTCAACAGGTTCATCTTATCTTAGTTTCTCTTTCAGGTTGATTTGTCTTTCAGTCTAACAAAATCATGTGACGGTATAAAAACAGAAGACCTGGCTAGAAGTATTTTAGTTGGGTAAAACTTCTAGAGAACCACAAGTTCCTTATCTGCAGTTGTAAATAAATGTACCTTGTGGTTTTAATTTCTTTTGCACCCTCTTGATGGCTCTTCAGAAGAAAAAGTCAGTTAAAAAAAAAAAAATTATGTGAAATTCTTAAAAAGGTGAGACGGATTGTACTTGTCTGCTTTTTGCAGGATCCAAAAGAGACTTACTTCTCTTAATTGGATTGATGGTTGATAGGTTTGGCTGCTGGGTTGATGGTTTATCTGTTTATTTTTATTTATGTTTGACTGTTTTTAGCTTGTCAGGGAGAGTTTTTAGCTGTTGTGCCCTGCTGCCCAAAGTCACATGTTTGTGAGGTGTAGAGCTATATAAACATACTAAATAAATAAAGGCATTGATTTATTGATACGATTTATTTAGCTGCCCATCTCGCACAAATAAATCAGGGTGGCTTGTAAGATTAAAACGGATGAACCCACCCGTTGCTTCTTGTCCTGCCTTCAGGCGCTTTGGAAAATAGCTTGACCCCTTCCTTTTTGGGGCAACCCCTGAGATATTGGAACACTGCTATCATGTCCCCCCTGGTCCTTCTCTTCATTAAACTAGACATACCCAATTCCAGCAACCGTTCCTTATATGTTTTAGCCTCCAGTCCTCTGATCATTTTTGTTGCTCTTCTCTGTACTCTTTCTAGAGTCTCAACATCTTTTTTACATCGTGGTGACCAAAACTGGATGCCGTATTCCAAGTGTGGCCTTAACGAGGCCTTGTAAAGTGGTATTAACACTTCACGTGATCTTGATTCTATCCCTCTGTTAATGCAACTCCAAGCAGTTGCTAACCATTAACTGAGAAGATTTCTGTGCATAGACAGGAGTAGCAATAAATCACCTGGACCTTCACGTGTGAACCTGTTGTTTTGTTTTTTTTTGTACCTGACACTAGCAGAGTGAACAGCCCTAACATCTCTGTCTTTCCTCCCTGCAGTGTTCCTAATTCCTGCCCGGCTAGTCCCCGTGGTGCTGGTTCCTCAGGTTTTCGCTTTACCCACAACGTTACCTCTGATCTCCAACTGGCTGCCGAATACGCAGCAAAAGCTACTTTGGAGCAGCAGACGGACGCCTCTGGGGGAGACAGCCCCAAGGTTGGAAGACCCTTCTCCTTGTCCATTTTGCAAAAGCCGGGTCAGTGTTCGGGAGGGTAAGGGGCATAGATAGCAAAGAAGAGAGGAGGCCATCTTGAGACCTGGAGAAACCTTGGGTCAGTGGGATCTGGTCTTCTTCTTGTTCCCTAGTAGGGGTTGTAGAAAAGATGAGGGAAGTCAGGAGAGAGGATCAGCTACCACGTCTTCTGCTCTCTCACCTTGTCCTCTGCTACTACACCCAAGTTGACCATCGCCTTGGCCAACAAGAGCAGAGTTCCCATCATCCAATGCCTCTTCATCCTCCATTGAGGAAGCAATATTGTGTGGTGACCAAAGGGTGAAGGAGAAACTTCCAGGAATTCAGACCCACAATTGTGGCAGGAATAGGCAGAAAGCAACTGTGTGACCCTCCTCCCTTTCTCCAACCCGCTCACAACTGCCCTCTCCTGACTCCAAAAATCACCTAGGGTTCAGATGGTTGAACTACCACCCTTGGCATGGCGTTCAAACCAGCTTTCTCCAGCCTGGCACCCTTCCAACACGTTTCCAAGGCCAGCCTGGCAAAGCCTCAAAGCTCCTGTTGGATTTGAGCTCTTGATATTATGTCCAAAGCTGGCCTCACTCTGACAGACTCACGAGGAATCGTTTTAAGGCGAGATTTCTCAAGCTATCTGTTAACTGCGCGGATCAATAATCTATTTTGTCTGGTATTACACGGCGCTCCGGGGCTTAGCTAGCAACTCTAAAAAGTCCACCCAGATTATTGCAACCACTAAAAAGGGTTTGCAAAACACAGTAGCAGCAATGGTGGTTAAATGGCAAGCCTGTGGCTATTTGGACGTGCGTCTGAGGTTAAGAATTTCAAGTGGGTTTGCAGATCGAAAAAACGGGGTCTTCGGTTTTTATTTTATTTTATTTTTTCCCAGTCCTCCTTTACTTTGAAAAGCAGCTGTTCAGTTGCCTCCCATCTTGTTAGACAAGCTCAGGTCTAAATTATTAATGATTTGCGAAGCGGCTAAAAAAACCTCCCTTGCGTCTTTTGTGTTTGTGTTTCTGGTCCGCAGGATGAATCCAAGCCACCGTATTCTTACGCCCAGCTCATTGTTCAAGCTATCTCGTCAGCTCAGGACAAGCAATTAACACTAAGTGGGATCTATGCTCACATTACGAAGCATTATCCGTATTACAGGACAGCAGACAAAGGCTGGCAGGTAAGGGACTCGGAACGACTCATCCCATGTTTATTTTTTATTTACTTATTTAAGAAAATGGATCTGGCCGTCCAACTCACTCTCAGTGACTCCAGGCAGCTTACAAAGATAAATCCCCAGTACAACGAAGCAATAATCTTCCACAACTCTCGCAACGACAATCAAACCAGCCATTTGATGGGCTCCGTATTACTCTGGGTTCCCCAAGCCCATTGGCAGAACCGTGTCTTCAGGGCCTTGTGAAAAGGTGTCAAGGTGGGGGCCAATCATATCTCTGCAGGGATGATGTTCCACAGGGAGAAAGCCACCATTCCAAATTCCCTTCTTCTGGGTCCCTTTAGAGCAGGGGTGGGAGACTATGGCCCCTTTATGACCTGTGGACTTCAACTGGCTGGCTCAGGAATTCTGGGAGTTGAAGTCCGCAAGTCTTGAAAGTTGTCAAGGTTGGAGACCTTGGTTGAATTCAGAGAGTTGAAGGCCACAAGTCTTAAAAGTTGCCAAGGTTGAAGAGCCTGGCTGAGGAATTCTGGAAGCTGAAGGCCACAAGTCTTAAAAGTTGCCAAGGTTAGAGACTCTGGCTGAGAAATTCTGGGAGTTGAAGTCCACAAGTCTTAAAGTTGCCAAGGTTGGGGATCTTGGCTGAGGAATTCTGGAAGTTGAGGTCCACAAGTCTTAAAGTTGCCAAGGTTGGGGACCCTGGCTGAGGAATTTTGGGAGTTGAAGTCCACAAACCATAAAGGGGCCATAATTCCCCACCCCTGCTTTAGATTGTCCTTCTTAAGACGGGATCTGTAACATACCTGTCTCCCCGCTCTGTTGGGTTGGGTAGATAGGACTAGGAAAAAATGTCTCAAAGGTGGTTTTGTTGTTGTTTTTTCAACAGGCAACTGGACTTCCTTTGTTTTTTCTTTGAAGACATTTTGCTTCTCATTTCCTTGAAGAAACGTCTTCAGGGGGAAAAACAAAGAAAGTCCAGTTGCCTCTTGGAAGAAAAGAAAAAAAAAGCAGCTTTGAGACAACCATGACCTGGATGGCTGAGAATCCCCACAGACACAACTAGGAAAAGATGGTCCTTCAAATAACCTGACCTCACGCCATGTAGGGCTTTCAAAAGGGGACAAACAACACCTTAAATTGGACCTGTCAGTTTTTAACCGTACAGCTTGGATAACCCATTTTCCTCCTGCAGAATTCCATTCGGCACAACCTATCCTTGAACCGATACTTTATTAAAGTCCCCCGTTCTCAAGAAGAGCCGGGAAAAGGCTCCTTTTGGCGGATAGACCCTCCCTCCGAAGGCAAGCTAGTGGAGCAGGCATTCCGAAAACGGAGGCAAAGAGGGGTGTCCTGCTTCCGAACCCCATTTGGACCCCTCTCTTCCCGGTAAGTTCAATGTAACGCCTGAAGGCAGGACGAGAAGCAACGGGTGGAAACTGATCAAGGAGAGAAGCAACCTAGAACTAAGGAGAAACTTCCTGACAGTTAGAACAATTAACCAGTGGAACCACCTGCCTCCAGAAGCGGTGAATGCGCCAACACTGGAGGTTTTTAAGAAGAGACTGGACGGCCATTTGTCCGAAATGGTATAGGGTTTCCTGCCTGAGCAGGGGGTTGGACTAGATGACCTCCAAGGTCCCTTCCAACTTTATTATTATTATTATTAACAGCCAGAAACCACACTTACCACTATAAAGAAAAATTGGCCAAGGGGATGATTTATCAAAACAAAAATTTAAAGGTTAAAAAAATTTAAAAACAGAAACTTAAACAATAGAAGCAATGACTATTTCCAGTTTTCTTCCTGTAGCCAAATTTGGGGCACAACTCTTTGATATTGGAAGGAAAGGGGCTTGCTGTATTTTGCTCAATTGAGTAGAGAAAGTGAGGTCAGTAAGATGCTATGGACTAGCTACTTAGTTTAGTAAAATGAAAGAGATAGGGATGAATACAAGATGCTCAACCCTCCCAACCTGGCCAGTTAGAAAAGAAAGACCCTCAGATCCATTGTTAACGAAAGTTCACTTTACTAAAGCCGAGTGGTTACAGAAGGAGCAAAGCTGGATCTGAAGTTTTCCTGCCCAAAGCATAGGGATAACTTTTTCCTTGTTACCACTTTCCTCCCTGCTAACAACTTGTTTGAGTAAGGGTCCCTGTCTTCATGGGCTGGATGGCTCTGCAGTCCATTGTTTGACCTTGGAACCACAGCCCCCTTGTCCCACCCTGCAGCTCCCCCTCCCGTTGAGTGTGGCAGGCTGAGAGCAAGCAATGCATGGCGTAGCAGGATGGCAGTCCTGACGCACACTGCCGTTGCAAAGAATGTTTGCTTTGATTTGCACTCTTCTCCGTTCTCTTCCAGGAGCGCCCCCGCCTCCCCTACTCATCCCGGTCTGCTTTCTCCCCACACGAGTGGCCTACAGACTCCAGAGTGCATGTCGAGAGAAGGATCCCCGATTCCTCACGACCACGACTTTGGCGCCAAGCTTGCTTCTGTCCCAGAGTATCGGTATTCACAAAGTGCTCCTGGTAAGGATGCCTCGGGTGGAGAAGTGGGCTCTAACCAGCGTTTCTGCCGCCCTGATAGGCTCCTGGATGGAGTAGGTGCAAAGCAGTAGAGGAATATCCTGCAAAAAAAATCCCAAAAGAGTATCATGAGCAACAGAGTGCCCCAGTTTTTTCACATGTTGAGAATCGTCAAGTTTGGAGAAAATGGTTCTTGGTTTTTAGTGGAATGTTGTTTAACTTTATTTGGGAATTTTGGATTTGAATCTCCCGTTGTAGCCATTGATGAGTCTTGTCTTCTTCCCTCCCTCCTTTCCTTCTCTTCCCCTCCCCTCCCTCCCTCCCTTTTCTCTCCCTCCCTCCCTCTCTGTCCCTCTTTCAGGATCCCCCGTAAGTGCCCAGCCGGTCATCATGGCTGTTCCTCCAAGGCCTTCAGCGCTGATGGCCAAACCACTCGCCTACCTGCCCGCCTCCATCGTGACCTCTCAGCAGCCTCCAGGCCACGCAGTCCACGTGGTCCAGCAAGCCCCCACTGTTACAATGGTCCGAGTTGTGACGAGTTCGGCAAGCTCAGCAAATGGATACATCCTGACCAACCAGGGGCCAGCTGGCAGCACCCATGACGCGGCAGGGGCTGTCCTGGACTTGGCCGGTGAGCTTCGGGGTAGTAGCTTGTCCCCAGAATGGCGAAGATCCTCGCTTAACTCAGGGCTAGGCAAATTTCTCCAGCTTTCTTTCAGGCTGTTTAATTAATTGGACACTCAAAAATAAATGTATGGACATCATAAGAAAACTAAGAATACAATCACAATTGAGCCCAAACTCTTGGTTGTTAAATAAATAAATTTCAAAAATTCTCTCTCACTGCAGGGCTGGATGAGAAGCCCACCATCACATTTGCTGCCATACCAACTGCCAGTCGGGTCATCCAGACAGTGGCCAGCCAGATGGGTCAGGGCATCCCTGGACAGACGGTCACCATCCTGCAGCCAGCCACCTCCATGGCCCTCGGACAGCACCAGTTACCTGTCCGCACAGTGACCCAAAACGGAAAGCATGCCATTCCCACAAACAGCCTAAGCAGTGGGACTTACGGTATATATACAAATTCTCCTTTATTCTCCCTGCCTTTAGAATCTTTCTGCAAAACGAGCTTGCTCGGCCTTGCAAAACAGGGGTCCCCAACCCCCGGGATTGTGGCCCATTCCCAGACCGTGGCCCATTCAGAACCGGGCTGCGGAAGCTACACTTGCACAGACACCGGGCGCACACACACACGCGTGAAGTTCTGTTGGCGTGAGTGGGCGCGTGTAATTATTTTGAGTCATTGAATTATTAAATCCTCCCGCAGCGAGTTGCCCCACGGCAAGTTGTCCGTGACGAGTTGGATGCAGCAAGTTGTCCCATTCTGGCACTTGCCCAGCTAGCAGTTCAAAAGCATGCAAATGCAAGTAGATGAATAGGTACCACCTCAATGAGAAAATAGCAGTGTGGCGTAGAGCAGGGCTTTTCAACCAGTGGTACAGGTACCACCTGTGGTACATTGGCACCTTGCAGGTGGTACGCCACCATCCTAGAAAAGTGGTAGTGGGGGAGGGGAATGAGCTGAACCGGTGGCAGCACCGCACAAGCCTGAGCGAGAGATGGCTGGAGCTGCAGGGCTGTCAGGGCTCAGTGGAAGCGCCAGGATCAGTGCTGCTTTCCAGCTGATTGGCGCTTCTTCGGGGCTGTCAGGGCTCAGTGGAAGCGCCAGGATCAGTGCCAGGCTCCAGCTAGAGCTCAGCGCTGATCCTGGTGCTTCTGCTGAGCCCTGAAGAAGCGCCAATCAGCTGGAATGTTGCAGCATCTCCAGGGTCTTGTGATTTACATTCAGATGCTTGGCAACTGATTCATATTTATGACGGTCACAGTGTCCCAGAGTCATGTGAAGTGACCAAAACCTGCTGCAATCACCCAGCAGACGGGGGGAATAAAAACTGAACACCCCCCTACCCCACCCCCACTGCCAATCCTCGACAGAAATGCTCACAACAATGAAAACCTCGGACAGGAGGAAGAGCGCCGCTGGGCAGGCAGGTGTCTTGCTCGGCTGTGGCTTGGGGGGCACTTTTTTCAGTGCCATTGTAACTTCCAACAGTCACTAAGCGAACTGTTGTAAGTCAAGGACTACCTGTACTTTATCACTTTTTTCCTTCTTTTTTTGGGGGGTCATCATGTTTTTGACACCTTGCTAGGCGACTGGTGGTACTCGGATGTTGCCCTATCCTAAAAGTGGTACAATGGCTGAAAAGGTTGAAAAGCCCTGGCGTAGAGTCATCCTGGCCACATGAAATAAATGTCTTCGGACAATGCTGGCTCTCTCGGCCAAGAAACAGAGACGGGCACTGCCCCCCGAGTCGGACACAACTGGACAGGGGGAACCTTTTACCTTTCATCTACATAGACCCTGTCCAAGCTTTTCTAAAGTCCTTTCTCTCTTGTTTTTTTCCCCCCGGCTCCAGCCCTCGCCAATCCCTTGCAGGTGCTTGCGGCTCAAGCCAGCTCCTCCACCCCCGTGGTCATCAGCCAGACGAGAGAAGCCGGGCTGAAAGATCCTGAAGAGCTTTTGAGAGAGCCTGAGGTCAAACGACCTCGAATGGAAGACCCTAGAGCGGTTGTGGCGGCGTTGCAAACTGGTGTCATCACATCCACAGCCCCCTCGGGACAATCCGCTGGAGAATGAGGCCGCAGAAAGATCAGAAAAGGCACCGAGAGAGAAAAATCTCTTTTTTTTTTGTTTTGTTTCCTAGCAGAAATCTTTTCTTTCTGCAGCTGTTAACACCTGGATCATTTCAGTGGGGTTGTGGGGGTTTTTTTGGTTTTTTTTTTTTTGTGCTTTCCTTTTTTTTTAAAAAAAAATCTCCTTTTGAACATTTTGAAGGACAGGCCAGCGTTTGTCAAGATTGTCGAGGTGCCAAATGAATTGGGCAAAATCTTCCATCGTTCTGGACCCAGGGAATTAATCCTCTTCTGCTTTTTATTTTGGAGACATCCTCCTGCCCCCCCTTCTTTCTTTCTTTCTTTCTTTCTTTCTTTCTTTCTTTCTTTCTTTCTTTCTTTCTTTCTCCCTCCCTCCCTCCCTCTCTCTCTCCCTTCCTTTCTTTCTTTCCTTTCTTTCTTTCTTCCTTTCTTTCTTCCTTCCTTCCTTCCTTCCTTCCTTTCTTTCTTTCTTTCTTTCTTTCTTTCTTCCTTCCTTCCTTCCTTTCTTTCTTTCTTTCTTTCTTTCTTTCTTTCTTTCTTTCTTTCTTTCTTTCTTTCTTGATTTAAAAAAGAAACGCAGACCGTTTTGATTGTTTGGGATATTTCTCTATCCCTCCTCGCCTTCCTTAATTTCATCCCTTCCTTGTTTTCCTTTAAAAGCATGGTAGTTTATATGTGAGCGTACTAAAAATGCCAGACAGAGACACAAACTTCAGGTGGGAACGTCTGACCTCAAAAACAGGTTTATTTTTTACTTTTTTTCACTCTCCAAGGAAGACAAGCGCATCCGGTTTGTATCTCGGAACTCCAATTTATGAAAATTATTTGCAAAAAAGAAAAAAGAATTATTTGCAAAGCAATATCACACTTCGGTAACTGCCACCTAAAAGGGCAGAAACTTGTTTATATTTCCTTCTTGTTGCCTACATGCAGTACAACTCATGTTCTGACAATGGGGAGTCACATCCCTGTCCAAAGTTTTGATCTCAGAGCACAGAAAAATCAGTTTATCCCAGTTAGATGGCTTCCCAATGCATTTGAAGCCTATACTTCCCAGAATTCTTAGCCTACTGGACAGATGGGGGGATTCTGGGAATCACAGTCACAGCCTACCTCATTGGGATGGCTGACCTACACAGCACTTGGCCCCCCACAGGTGCCTTTTGGAGAAAGAGAGAAAAGTTTATTTCAATCCTTTGAAAATATTGTCTGTTCAGTGAAAACAGCCAATTGTGTGATAAGAAGGTCTGGAATTTGTGGATCTTGTTAAGAATTGTCATACCTGCAGGCTTGTGAAACAACCAAGTGGGTTCCTTAATTTCATTCCTGTTGATTTTGAGAGAGAAGGAATAGATTTTTTTAACATTTATAACCTTTAAGGACAGTTCCCCGGAGCTCTCTGCTGTGTTACGGTTCGAGCGTTGGACTTTAACGTCTGGAGAGACCAGGTTTAAAAACATGAAACTCCCTGGGTAAACCTTGGACCAGCCGTTGTTTGTTTCAGCCTAACCTACCTCACAGGGATGTTGTGAGGACAAAGGGGAGGGGTGAGGAGGAGAGCTATGTATGCCACCTTGAGCTTGGAGGAAAGGCAGAATTTAAAAAAAAAACGTAATAAATCAGTAACCATCAACGCGTTCAGGTCACACAATCCCTTGTCTCACTTCAGAGTGTAGGGGTTTTTTTATGTGCGTGATGAACAAGACAGGAATGTCGATCTGTGTTCCTCTGGTAAGTTTTGCAAGCCGGTAATCCTAGCGGAAATTTCTTTAATGGCAGGTTTGGGATCATCCCCGATAAGGACGAATCCCATAATGGAAGGTGAAATGGAACGGAATCCCCTTACGGTCCACTTCACAGGTGAAACGGAGTCCAAGTTCCGAGGGCTCCAGTAAGACAAAATCGAAACAAAAGGAGTTTTTAATATTTAAATATTTATTAATAACATTTATTATTTCGGTGCTAATATGGGAATGAGATTAATATTTAAATAATGCAGGCTTCCCTCCGTCTGACTTTAGCAGCCCTTTGGTACTAAAAAAAAAAAAAAAATGCACCCCTGATGAACATCATGGAAGAAAAGAAATAGCGGGAAAAACTTTTAATTACTGTGGGTTAAACCGAATGTCTTCTCTGCAGTTTTCTTTAAGCACTTAAACTCTCCATATGTTGGTTTGCATTTTCCCTTTGCAAATAATCATAACCCAGAAACCGGCTGTCCCCCCAAAGTCCCTGTATTTTTTTTTTTCTATTTCAGGCTGTAAGTCACGCCAAGCAAAGTTGCAAGAACAGGTCACGTCACAAGAAAAGAGTGTGATAGTCTTAATTTACAAGTGGACCATTAGCCTTTTATTTGACCCTTGGGTTCATCTGCAGCTGGCATAGGAATTTGCAGAGGCCCAAAGGCACATAAAAAAGGGAGCCAGGCCTCAGTGACCCTACTTCCGGCAAACATTTATTTCCGGCTGATGAAGAGATGATGAGAAACGTCTATGGAGATTCTCAATCCTCCAGGTTCATGGTTGTCCCAAATGGGTTATCCCATTTCACTTCTGACCCGAGAAGCTTCTTCAACCCAGAAGGAAGAAGAACTGAAGAAGCTTCTTGGATGAGAAGCGAAACGTTCTCAAAGAAAATAAGAAAGTCCACTTGATTTTTGGAAAAAGCACCTTTGGGACAGACGATGAGAAAGGGAAGTCCAAAACAAGTGAATTGAGTCCAGCTGGAACAGGAAGCTGTGAGAAAAAGCAGAGGTGCACCCACATTTAACTGCTGTAGGACAAGCCACAAGGTGGGGAACGGGGACCCGAGTCCTCCATCCATTCCCTCAAAGCTCCATCTCCAACTGAAGTGCCCACAAACTGGGAACACAGTTCCTTGATACATGGAGATGGGAAATAAGTAATGGTTCAATCAAGTGTAAAAGTTGGCTGGCTGGCTGGCTGGCTGTCTATCGAAAAAACCCAATTCCAACATCCACGCCACCCCCAAAACCCCACGTCTCTGCACATACTATGAAGTTGGTCACCCAGAAAGTACTAAGGACAGATGCCGGCCATCGTAAAGTTGAGCAGACTGGTGTTTCATCTTAACACCAATGATTGATTAGTCCAGAGAGATGTTTTGCACTGGAGATTTTTGTGCTCAGGATCGTGTTTACTTTCTTCCCTGATCTTGTGAGATCCCGTGTAATTAGTTGCTGAGTACACACACCTTTGAGTAAACCCTAGTTTCCTTTAACCAGGGTTGGTTGAGTAACTGATGCAGCTGGGTTGGAGAGGCTTCTGCAGGGCTCAAGTTGAGCTGGTTAAATTGAGCTGGTTCTTTTGTTTTCAAAAGCACTTGTGAATTGATTGGCTGTTTTGTGTCACTACAAGATCTTATTGCGGTAATATTTGCTTTCTTACTTGGGTGTTTGAAGCTGAGCAAGAGGCCTGTGTGTGTGTGTGTGTGTGTGTGTGTGTGTGTGCTGATGCCAGTTTTGCTTTCTTCGAACAGTTGAATCTTTAGGATCAACTCCGGATCTAACAACCTTTGGAAACCATTGAAAAGCAGATTATTTGGAAATGAATCTCTGCATATAAGCGCGCTGTTTCCTGAGAGTAAATATTTTTTCTCAAAATGTCGACAGCCACATTCTTTGTACCTTGGTATATTTTGTTCGTTGTTCCAGATGCACATAAATCAAAGAAAGGGTAACTTTGTGGCCTTTTCACGCTTGCATTTTAACATTTTAATTTACAGATTGTTTATCACTGCTTAATATGTTTGCAGACTCCTGCCGTGCAGGTGATAACCCACTTTTCATTTTTAATTGCCAAACGCCCTGGGTCGGAGTTCCTGAATTAATGACACAGTCAGCTTCAACCAAAATGTAAATGTCTCTGCTCTGGTGCTGAAAGAATAATGTGTTTGTGTAATGGAGCATTTACCCAGGCTGAATTTCTATCACCTTAAGTATAGGAAAAGGACTGACCCAGAAACCAAGCTGCGGTTTGCAACCTGCTTGTACCAGCATTTCCCCCCCCTCTTGATTTCCATATCAAAAACACAACATTTTAATAACGTCAGGGCAGAAAACTGACAGGGGATGACTTGCTGACCTGAATTTGCATCGAGTTGTCGAAACAAACTTGAGCTTATCGCAAGTGACAGCCAAGTTGTGTTGGATTTAATTTGCCCTTCTAGTTTCTGAGCTGAAAGCTAGGCATTGCCATCTCTTATGGTGGAAATTGTCGCAAAGTGCAGATAGTCCTCAACGGCCACAATGGAGCCCCAGATTTCTCTTCTTAAGTGAACTTTGCCCCATTATATGACCTTCCTTGCCCACGGTTGTTAAATGAAGCCCTGCAGTTGTTAAGTTAGTGACACGGTTGTTAAGTGAATCTGGCTTCCCAAATGAACTTTGCTTGTCAGAAGGTCGCAAAAGGGAATTCGCATGACCCTGGGATACTGCAACCGTCATAAGTACATGTCAGTTTCTAAGCATCTGAATTTTGATCACCTGCAATGGCTGCAACGGTCGTAAGTGTGAAAAATGGTCATAAGTCACTGTTTTCAGTGCCGCTGTAACTCGGAACAGTCCCTAAATGAACTGTTGTAAGTCGAGGACCACCTGTATCATTAATTACAAAAGATTTATGTGCAATGAAGCAACGGGGGTGATTTAATGGATTGTAGCTAGTTTCATTGTGGGGGGTTTTTTTTGTCAATTGTTCCACTGTCTGGGTGGTTAAATTACTGACCGAATTGGGACATTGCAGAAAACGTTTGGGTAATTGGCTTGACTTTAACCGAGTATGTGAATGTCGTCACACTTTACAAAACCAGCGTGCTCTTATTTTTGTATGACACATCATATTTGTCCTTTTTTTTTTAACGCTGTGCTGGGGAAGCTGAATTTCAAGACAGAGATAGGGATCCAGACAAAAGCCAAATTTGACTTAATTGACCTTGAAATGTAACTAAAATTAATTTTAATACAGTTAATGTAATTGCTGCCCATAGCCTTAACAATTTCCTTCTTTCATGCTAAAAAGGATAAATTCTGGGAGTAAGCAGTGGTGTCTCCCAAGCCTTGGGGGTGGTGGGAGGGGCAGAGATAGTTTTTAAGATGCCAGATTCTGCGTGCCTGGTTTGTGCTAAGTAAATTATGGGAATCTCATACATTGCCATTTGTTCAACTAACACCATGGTGAAAACGAATTACAGGGTGATGTATAAAAGAGATCCTGATTTCTCTATCACAGGGCAGTTGTAATAAAATTCAAGGAAGAAAGCCGTGGCTATCGATAGGGAAAAGGCAGTTTAAAAGCATAATAAGAACAGAATTGTCAACTTGGGAAGAGGATAAGAAATAATTATCTAAAGGTGGATGCAGTTAGTGGAGAGGAGAGCTTTTTAGGGTGATCAGGTCCTTCAACCTGCCCATTTTCAGCAAAATCGGTGAATAATAAATTTATATGCCACCCGACTTAGCCAAGTCAACTATCTCAGAGAGACAAAATTTACACACAATCCCATTTACTGTGTTGTCAGAACAATATTCTTTTGAATAAATAAAAAGGTCTCAAATCATTTTGAAATAGTTTTTTTTTTAAAGAAAGAAAAGAAAAAAGGAGACCAGATTTTTAGATAACCATCTTCCTAGGCTCTTGGTGTACTGTGGCAATCTGGGAGGATTTTTTTCTTGGTGGGGAGAAAAACCCAATAGTAAATTGTACGCAGTTGTCAAGTCACTTCCAAAACAGCCCCATCTCCAGAAAGCATGCTTTGCATTTATACTGCCGTATAAATTCCTGAAAGAAGGGTTGGTTAGAGACATGACCAAAATATTCATGAAAAAAAAATAACCCAATATATCTCTTGGTAGGAAGTATTAACATTTTTCTTTTCTTTTTTTCAAAAAAAAGATCAATTTTCCCAGCATTTTTTTTTTAAATTCCAGATGTATAATGCAAAAATACTTCTAGTGAGTTTTCTCTCCGTCCTTGGTTAGCGTTCACAAAAGTTGAACGGGTGTCCAGTCTCCCATCATGTCAACATCCAGGAAGAGAAGGGAGAGTTGAGGTAATTCAATCCATCTGGCTTGGAGAGATGATGATAATAATAACAACAACAACAGAGTTGGAAGGGACCTTGGAGGTCTTCTAGTCCACCCCCTGCTCAGGCAGGAAACCCTAGAGTGAGTGTTTCTCAAATTTGGGAACTTTTAAGATGTGTGGACATCAACTCTCAGAATTCCTCAACCAAGAATTTTGGGAGTTGAAGTCCACCCATCTTGAAATTCCCAAGTCTGAGAAAACTACTAAAGGAAATGAGAATGGCGAAAGTGAAGGACCGGAGATTTAACAGCAGCCTGGTGAATTTTCATACTTGGTCTTCTTTTGAGATCTTCAACTAGTGACTTCCTTTCCATTATGTGAGAAGCTTGGTGCTTATTGGCAAGTTTATGCTTTAAGCTTGCCTGTTATTACAGAGTTCCTGTCATTGCATGGGGTTGGGTAGCACATCTATACAAATCCAGATTTGCTGGAGTATAATATAAGCATGGCCAGTTGTGACAGATGCTGTGATGGGAGTTTCTAAAACAGCTCCAGGTTACCTGTCTGGCAAAAATAATAAATCTGTGGACATCAGTCTGAATTTCAGCTGTGAGATGCCAGAGAGGAAATAGAACAAATGGGCAAATACATTTTTTTAGGCTGTTCTCCTGGGCACACTTACCACGGAGTAACCCTGCCGAGTATGTTTTCCTGAATATTATATTTAGTACAGCATTATTTATATCTAATGTTAGATGCAATATGACTTCAGAACATTAATCCCAACCCAAGATACCTCAGGAACTAAGGTTGTGTCTTGGTTGACTTTTCTACTTGATGTTCAAATTGAGAACACGTTTGTTTTAAAAACAGGAAAAATACAAAAGATTAAAACCAAATCAGTGGAAAACTAAAGAGTCAATTCATGTCCAAAAGCTGTGAACTCTTCTATTGTTTTCAGGAACGCAGGTTACACTAATTTTAAATGTAGCGTAGAGATGCAATAAAATCTTTTAAGCTGGGATGTCATTTGGATTACCAGCTAACCCATCAGCCGAATGAACTGTGCATCACCTTAAAAGAAGCATTCGCGTTTGAAGCTTGCTGCATTCAGAAGGTTAATTAAAACAACTGACTGGGTGAGAAAGAAAAATCACATTAGCTGACTAGGGCTAGGCTAAAACCATTGACAAGCTTTTAAAAAGCAATTTAGTGTACAGCACCTGCAGAAGAGGCAATGAGCATCATCTATTCTACACAGAAAGCAAAATGGTTGGAAGTTAAACTCCAACACTCGTTATTTTAGCTAGGTGCAGAACAGAATAACAAAATTAGAAGGGACCTTGGAGGTCTTCTAGTCCAACCCCCTGCTCAGGCAGGAAACCCTATACCATTTCATTATTGCACATTATTGTTAAATTTCAGGTTTCAAACGTGTAGCTGGGTTCATTCAATGCACTAGGATAAAATAATGGCTAGTCATCTTGTGACGAGTGAATCCTGTAAATGCAGACTGTTCTCCTTCATACAGTGATCAATTTTTACCTGGAGGTTGCAAGGTGCTATTTACCCATTCAGTAGACTCTAGAGGAAAGCTTTGTTCCTTTCAATTTGATCGTCCTCATTTAGCAACAAAAATTGAGACAGGCAAATTGGTCTTTTAAGTGAAACCGTCACGAAATGAAACCACAATGGTGTTTATAACCGTAAGGTGTTTTTATTTGCATTTTCTATGGTTTTTAATTAGCTCTACCCACCCTCCTCCTGCGGGTCTTGACTGTATGAGATTGATTTGAGTTGAATCCACCTATCTTAAATGGATGAAGTTGAGAAAGCCTGGCATAGACAAAGGCTGTCTCAGCCTCTCTCCATCTGGCAGTCCTTAAATGCATCAGGACTATAATTCCCAAAACACCCAGCAGGCTGGTCCACTTCTCCCAAGCTGCCAGACTGGGAAGCATTGCAACAACCTCTTCTTGTTCCTTGTCTGCTCCAGCCACTTCCCTCCCTTTTCTTCCTCTTCCTATGCATCTTATCAACTGATGCCAGGACTGAAAAGCCCCCCCCCCTCCACCTCCTCCCCGACGTTTCTCCCTCCCCTCTTTCTCCTCTTCCATTTATTTCTCCCGATTTCTTGGCAAAGCAGCGCCCAAAACGTCACCCGGAACGTTGCGAGCGGGAGCTTCGCGCTCGGCCCGGGCGGATTTTAGGGCCGGACTCGCGCGCATGCGCAGAGTCGTCTTCCACTGGGCTTGGAAAACTAACTTGGTTTTGGGGTTTGGTCGGGTCTGTCTTCCTCCTCCCGAGTAACCCCGGCTCTGGGGCGGGACAGGAGGGCGGGATGTACTCGGCGGGGACGGAAAGCTTGCTGCGGCAGGCCAGGTAGGAAGGAGAGGAGAGGAGGGTGGGGGAAGGTTTACATAAGCCAGCTTCCCATCTGCTGGCTGGCACCTGGACCATCCTAGATTCATCCTGGCTTGTGCAAGGCTCCCTGGCTGGCTGAGCTTTGTCAGGCCGCCTCCTGGGGCTCCAGGGGTCCTCATGCCTGTCTGCCTATTCCCAAGAGGCTCAGCCTCATTGCTCAAGAGGGATCCATGGTGCTCTCTGGGCTGGGTGGCTTTCTTTGCAGGCGTTTCATGACCCAGCTAGGTAACATCATCAGTGCTAGAAGGGAGTGGGTTTGCAAGGAGGAGAAAGAAGGTGAAGGAAAGGAGGAGGAGGACTGTGGCGTCCTTGGTGCTCTCTGAGATTGATGGTTTTCTTGTAGATGTTTCATGACCCAACTGGGTAACATCATCAGTGCTAGAAGGGAGTGGGTTTGCAAGGAGGAGGAGGAGGAGAAAGAAGGTGAAGGGGAGGAAGAGGAGGACTGTGGGGTCCTTGGTGCTCTCTGAGCTTGGCTGTTTTCTTGCAGGCATTTCATGACCCAACTAGATAACATAATCAGTGCTAGGAGGAAGAGGAGGACTGGGGGGTCCTTGATGCTCTCTGAGATTGATGGTTTTCTTGCAGATGTTTCATGACCCAACTGGGTAACATTATCAGTGCTAGAAGGGAGTAGGAGCGAACAGCCGTTTTAAAATAATTCCCATTATAACGTTTGTCCTCTCTTGTGGCACCTGGTCGCTGGGACCACTTCCTGGTTTGTATAGTAATAGTATTTGTGCTAGGGGAAGGTGTGCATGTGTGCGCACGCATACTTTTGAGTCAGCATTGATTGCGTACAGCTGCCTGGATAAGTTCCCACAGTTTTCTTGGCAAGGTTTTCAGAAATAAGCTTTTTCCTTTCCTACCAACAAGATCCTAAGTTGAGGACTATCTGTAGTGGGGTGTTTGATCAAAATTGACTTTGAATTGTATCAAAAATGGCACTTCTTAACTTGTCAATTCCTCTTTCCTGCTAGAGAGATCCAGGATGACGAACTTAAAAAATTCACTTCTCGGATCTCAGGCTTCCTTCAAAATCAAGACTTTGGAAATGAAACGGTTGATTCCTTGCGAAGACTATTTCTTATTGTCTCCGCCAGCAAATGTAGTCGGACGTGAGTGAGAACCAGCCCTGCATATAACATGTACTGTACTTTGTGGAATTTATTTTCCTAATCAGATTTACTGCTTAATTATTTTTGGCTTGGGTGGGGAAGGTAAGAAAATGGCCTTTTTTCAATATCTATCCAACATTCTTTTTAAAAAGATGAAATGAATTAAGGGGCATCTGAAATCAGGAATTTGTGGTTGACAACAATGGGGTAAAAATCTAGAAAATACAATGAAAGGACTGCCATCGTAGTTTCATTCAGTTGTGTCTTTTATTCTGGAAGATTTTTTTATGGGAAAACATCGCGTGGATAGTACATTGTTTACGCATTTCTCTTACATTAAACTTCCTGTTTTTGTTCCTTTGGATGACTTTTCTTGCAGATTGGAGGACAGACTTGTTCAGCTTCTGCAAACAACCCTATACCTACCAAAGTCTCCTAAGCAAATCCAGATACTTTGTAGTGCCATATTAAGAGAGGTATCATTTTGCGATGATTTATCTCTGCCTTGGGATAAGTTCCGGGACACCAGGCTGTTGAGTTTAGCTTTCTCCATCGTGCAATCCCAAGTAAGCAAGGCATTTTATTATTTCTAATTTACTTTTTTTTTCAATTTATTCTATCTGGTTGCTAGGAATCAAAAACAACTTGATGGTACATAATCAACTCTGTTCCAGTTGTCCACTAACTCTTAACAGCTTTCAGCCCTATCATATGTAATCAAGCAATAGCAAAAAAAGCCAAATAATAATATTGCATAGTAAAATATTGCTGTTTCCTTTTTTTAAAAAAAACCTGGTTTTGCAATTGTTTTCCATTTGGCCTCTGTCACACACACACCCTTCCATGTTGCACATGATAAACACATGCAGAAGGATTTTTTTTTAACGCTTTCTTTAAGCTCCCCCGTGTGGTGGAAAATAGATATTTTTCAAATTCTGGAAATCTACAAAAGTACCAAAGATCCTCTAGTTGCTTTGGGGTTCTTAATTGGTGTGCAACCTCTAAAATACCTCTCCAGAATTCCGATGACTTTCTGGTTGACTTGATTCAATTCTGCTGTTGGATATTGAATCATTGCTTTATCCAAAGTGCAATAAAAAGACAACTGTTGAAGAAGTGGGACAGCACGTGGTGAAAATTCTGGAAGGCAGACTGCCTGAAGATCAGAGTGCACGCCCTCTTCTCCCCATTCTGTCCAATGTCATCAGTTCTGCACCGCTGAGCCTGAAGGAAGGTGAATATTTGAATTCTAAAATTTTTACACAACTTCTCAACCCTCATCAATCAGACTGAGTGGCTGGGACGCTTGGACTAAAGAGTTGTCTGATTTTTTAAAAAAAACACCTAATAATTAGAGTTGCAGATATCAGCTGCAGTCTCTTTAGTGGCATCTTTCTTTTGGGTTCCTAGATCAGATCAACCTGATCAGCAAAAGGATGGTGGACTGGCTGAGGTATGCCAGCCTTCAGCAAGGAGTAACTCAAGCGACAGGTGGCTTTTTCAATCCAAGAGGAAAACAGGTATTCAGCCCAGACTGTAGGGCAGAGTGGGCAATGATGGCCCCTTTGTGACCTGTGGCCTTCAACTTCCAGAATCCTGAGCCAACATGGCTGGCTTAGGAATTCTGGGAGTTGAGGTCCATAAGACTTAATATTGCCAAGTTGGGGGGGTGGTGCCTTTATCATCATCATCCAAGTTAGGAGAGCCTGCTATAAAATGACATGAGCAGCCATTTTTCCATGACTTAGAGCAGGGGTTGGCAACTATGGCAAGTTTAAAACCTGTAGGTTTCAACTCCCAGAATTCCTGAGCCAGCATGAGCACCCGTGCTTTAGGGGCTCACCCCTCGATGGCTTTGCCTGGCTGGAGGTGGGTAACCCCCTTGATAAACCCTTGGGACTCCTCACATTTAAACCTGGAGTTACTTTCTCTGCCCCTTTTCTCGCTCCCAGAATCCTACAACTTAACCTGCCTTTTGCCTTTCTCCCAGCCTGGCCCCATCACCGAGGTGGACGGCACGGTAGCCACTGACTTCTTCACCGTGCTCTCGGTGGGCCAGAATTACACAGAGGACCAATGGCTCAACATGCAGGCTTTTTCCATGCTGAGGAAGTGGCTCTTGTGTTACAGGAGTGACGCAACAAGCAATCCAAATTCTGGTGAGGGTTTTTCTTGGGGCTCCGTGTGGAAGAGAAATGGGACTTTGGGTTCCAGGAAAAGGTGGGCTGTCCAGTTGAAAGGCTGGCAAAATTTGTGGGAACTGAAAAACAAAAATCCCTCTTGTTTATCTAAAAAACACTGGAGGTTTTTAAGAAACTGGACAGCCCCTTGTCTGGAATGGTACAGGATTTTCTGCTTGAGCAGGGGGTTGGACTAGAAGACCCCCAAGGTCCCTTCCAGCCCTGTTATTCTGACTATATTCCATCATAGTGAGACTGTCTAAAAGCTGAGCAAAAAGAACACAGTGTAACAAAATGGGACAAATTTAATGTGGGACAAGTTTAATGAAAAGAAGGACCAGGGGGGACATAATAGCAGTGTTCCAGTATCTAAGGGGGCTGCCCCAAAGAAGAGGGGGGGTCCACCTAGTCTCCAAAGCCCCTTAAGGCAGGACAAGAAGCAACGGATGGAAACTAATCAAGGAGAGAAGCAACCTTAGAACTAAGAAGAAATTTCCTGACAGTGAGAACAATTAATCGGTGGAACGACTTGCCTCCAGAAGTTATGAGTGCTCCATCACTGGAAGTTTTTAAGAAGAGACTGGACATCCATTTGTCTGAAATGGTATAGGGCAGTGGTGGCGAACCTATGGCACGGGTGCCAGAGGCGGCACTCAGAGTGCTCTCTGTGGGCACCCGCGCCATCGCCCCAGTCCTAAGCCTTCATCTGGGTTTTATAAAACCATTTTGCTTTAGGCCTCCACCGCCGTATGCAAAAAAAAAAAAAGATTCAATCAATCAATTTCAACTTCTTGCGGGAAGAAAAAAGATCTTGCAAAGTTGGAATTGATTGATTGAACTTTTTAGTTCCATCCAGTCTGCTGTTACCACTGAAGCCACGCCCACCCAATTGGCCACACCCAGCCAATCGGCCACACCCATCCGGCACCCGACGATGCATAAGTAGATTTTGGGTTGCAGTTTGGGCACTCAGTCTCTAAAGTGTTCGCCATCACTGGTATAGGGTCTCCTGCTTGGGCAACGGGTTGGACTAGAAGACCTCCAAGGTCCCTTCCAACTCTTGTCATTCTGTTATCTTGTCTTGCTAATCCAGCCCCGAGCTACCCACCTTGTCCCTTCCCTTACAGATGACAAGTCGGAGGTGGATGGCTCCCTCGTGTCAATGGTCTCCGTCACATCCACCTCAAGTCGCCTCCTTTTCCCACGGGAACGCTTGAGAGAAAAGGCCTTTGAGTACTGCCAGCGGCTTCTGGAGCAGAGCAATCGCAGTGAGTGGCAGCCCTGGTCCCAGGCCAGGGCTCCTCAAACTTGCCCACTTTAAGACTTGTGGACTTCACTGGCTGGGGAATTCTGGGAGTTGAAGTCCACAAGTCTTAAAGTGGCCACGTTTGAGGTGCCCTGGCCTAGGCAGTAGGGGGCAGATATTGGGGGGAAACCAAGGGCGGTCATATAATGCCTTGCTTAGCAACTGCCCTGCGTAAGGATGAACTTCCCGGTCCCTGTTGTCATAAGCCAAGGTCTATAACACTCGCTTCCTGCCATTGAACAGGGTTTAGGATCAAAGGGTGTAGAGTTTGCCGCCTCGTAAGCTCACCCACCGAGCTTGTTTACGCCTCACTGCACGAAAGTAGCCGTGCAGTCAAACGTTCTCCCTCCTAGTGGCCAGGAGTCTGAGCTCCGTTCATTTTTGTCCCTCAGGGGCTCTGAAGAAAGCCGATGGGGAGCTGCAGAAAGCCGTAAGTATCGCCGACGGATGGGGCTGGTTTAGCAGGAACCCAGAAGTTGACAAGACAGGGAATTTTGGTTCTCTTTTCCCTTCCAGTGTCTCATCGAAGCGGTCACCATTATGGACATCATCTGCCGACACGACTCTTCTTACGTTTACCGCTCCCTCTCCAGCTTGAAAAACCTCCAAGGACGGATCAGCGGGGATCCTTCTTCCGCCCGCGTGCTGATTCCCATCGCCCAGTTTTTCCTGAACCACAGTGAGTCAGGAAGCTTGGATGTTGCGGTGAAGGGGGCCTCGCTTTAAAACAAAGACCCCCTTTTTTTAGCTTCTTGGAGTGGGGTTTCAGACTCCACAAACATTTCAGTGCTTTGTTAGGTGGGAGGAAAGAAGGAGGGGTGACTTTCAGGCGGTCCACGCCCGGCATCCACCCCGGCGGGTGCTTGTGGGTCACTTCAGCCCCATCTGGACCTGCAGAGGGATTTAAAATCTTCCTTCGTCAACCAGGCGAGACGGCAGCGGTGGACTCCGAAGCCATTTATCGGCATCTCTTCGCCAAAGTTCCCGCTCAGCTTTTCCACAACCTCATGCTGGCTTATGAGTTTCTCCAGTTCTGCCGGCAGAATGTTGGACTCTTCACGGGGCATCTCAGCATCTTCCGACAAAGCACCCCGAATCTGTTCAAGGTATCAGACCCCGGACTCTTTCATCCTTCTGAACTTTTGACCTCCACACAGGAGGCATTTTGTCAGTTTTGACCCACACCTCCACAGGTCCCATAGGTGCCTCTGCCACCATCTAAGGCAGTGATGGCGAACCTTTTAGAGACCGAGTGCCCAAACTGCAACCCCAAACCCACTTATGCATCGTCGGGTGCCGGGTGGGTGTGGCCCATTGGCTGGGCATGGCTGCGGTGGTAACGGCAGGCTGGGTGGGACTAAAAAGTTCAATCAATCAATTCCAACTTTGCAAGATCTTTTTTTTTCCCCCGCGAGAAGTTGAAATTGACTGATTGAACCTTTTTTCTTTTTTTTGCATACAGTGGCGGAGGCCTAAAGCAAAAAGGTTTTATAAAACCCAGCTGAAGGCCTAGGACTAGGGCGATGGCGCGCGTGCCCACAGAGAGGGCTCTGAGTGCCGCCTCTGGCACCCGTGCCATAGGTTCGCCACCACTGATCTGAGGTCACCTAATTTCCACATTCCGGCGAGAACCCCAGAAAAGTTGCTAAAAGAGAAACGCCTGGCAGTGTGGCTTACCATGATTTTGGCCTGGGAAACCCACTCAAACATTAGCAGGGCTGGCTTTTAAGAGTCTTAAATGAGCTTTTTGAAAACCCTGAGAATTCAAAGAGAAGCCAGAAGCTATAAACACTGAGGGGGAGCAGAGAATTCCCTTTGGGAATTTCTTTCTCTGTTTTTCTGCTTCTGTCTCTCTGGATCTGCTCTACTTTCTTCTCAGAACCTAGATCTCTTGAGTTTTCCCCAAGAAATGGATCCCATGCATGGACGCTCATTTGCTTCCCTTTGCAGTTCTTGGCCTGGAATAGCCCAGCTCTGATTGTTGATTACACAGATCTTTTACCAGCCCTGCTCGGTCCGGATAACGCCTTGGAAATCTTCCACTTGTTGCTCGACCTTCCGTGTTTAACGGCTGCACTGGACACCCAACTCAGGTACTTTGAAGGTTGTTAATCCACTTGTAAAGGCCTATTTCCATTCTGGTTGTTGTGGTGGAAAAGTCCAAAGAGGTTTCTCATAATTTAGGTCTAGGCCCCGGTGGACTGGATGGGGGAAAGCTTTTTATGAGAAGGGGCAAACCACGATACCCAGACAGGCTTCAAAGGATGATCCTTGTGAGGGTCCTCCAGACGTTGTGAATAGGATAGGATAGGAATAATTAGAATAGAATAGAAGAGTAGAGTAGAATAGAGTAGAGTAGAGTAGAATAGAATAGAATAGAATAGAATAGAATAGAATAGAATAGAATAGAATAGAATAGAATAATAGTAGAGTAGAGTAGAATAGAATAGAATAGAATAGAATAGAATAGAATAGAATAGAAAAAAGAAAGGGACCTTGGAGGTCTTCTAGTCCAGCCCCCTGCTCAAGCAGGAGAACCTACACCGTCTCAGACAGGTGAATGTCCAGTCTCCTCTTAAAAATCTCCAGTGATGGGAGCGCCCACGATTTCTGAAGGCAAAGCTGTTCCACTGTTACATCTGGTTCCAGTCTCTTAAATCTCTCCCTAGGTCTGCCCTGACCCCCCTGTCTGAGAGGGCCACCATAGATCCAACTACAAAGCCTGTCACCTTCCTGGAAGCCTTCCGCCACCCCCAATATAGGGGCCTCTTCCATTATCTCCTGCGGGTTGAGACCATTCCAGGTGACCCTGGCAGGTATTGTCAAGATTAAGCCTGGTTTTTTTAAAAAAAATGATGTGGCTAATGTGTGGTGTGCATTGTGACTTGTGTTTGTTTGATTGTCCGCAGGCTGACTCCTCTCCGGCAGCTTTTGGGGTCCCTGGCCAGCCACCCTCGTGTTGGGCAATGTGCCAGGAGCGTCCCACCCTTACTACAGCTCTTCTTCAGGTTGGTGTCCAAGGTAAGATCCCACCTGCAGGATGCCCATTGCCACATGGTCCAAAAAAGGTTATTGCTGGGATATGTTGAGGGCAGCTCAAAAGCCAAGGCTGTAGCATTCACAATTTAAAAATACAGAATAACAGAGCTGGAAGGGACCTTGGAGGTCATCTAGTCCAACCCCCTGCTCAGGCAGGTAACCCTATACCATTTTGGACAAATGGCTGTCCAGTCTCTTCTCAAAAACTTCCAGTGTTGGAGCATTCACAGCTTCTGGAGGCAGGTTGTTCCACTGGTTAATTGTTCTCACTGTCAGGAAGTTTCTCCTTAGTTCTAGGTTGCTTCTCTCCTTGATGAGTTTCCATCCGTTGCTTCTAGTCCTGCCTTCTGGTGCTTTGGAGAATAGCTTGACTCCCTCTTCTTTGGGGCAGCCCCTCAAATACTGGAACACGGCTATCATGTCCCCCCTCATCCTTCTCTTCATTAAACTAGACATTCCTAATTCCAGCAACTGTTCATTCCAGTTGGATCATTGCTGGCCACATCAAATAAAAACAGCCTGATTTGAACCCAGATTTTCTTGGTCTTAATCCAGGATTTCTTCCCTTGAAATACATCAAGAATCAACATTCATGGTTTGTTTACTTGGAGAACATCTGCAGCATTAAGCACCAGCCTTAGATAGTGATAATACTTAACCATGATGTAAATAATAGGGAAGGAATGCTTCATGCATTCCAGTGATTGCAAAAATCACTGTCTTTGCTAAAAGAGCTATTTTTTAAAAAAGGGCTGCAGCACTGAAGACCACAAATTATATTAAGATGCACTCAAAACCTTCTCCATCAGGTTTGCTGCAATGATCCGGGGGGGTCTATTCTGATGAAAGACAAGGGTGAAGGCTGCAGGAAGGCCAAAAGGCAGGAGAATTGCCCCCTCCCAAACTTTCCTTTCTAGCCCTTTTTATTTTACAACCTCAAAAAAGACAAGGGTAAAGATTGTCCTAGTGGACAATCACCTAAATAGGAGCCAGCAGTGTGCTGCAGCTGCCAAAATAGCCAACACAGTGCTGGGCTGCATTAACAGAGGGATAGAATCAAGATCACGTGAAGTATTAATACCACTTTATAATGCCTTAGTAAGGCCACACTTGGAATACTGCATCCAGTTTTGGTCACCACGATGTAAAAAAGATGTTGAGACTCTAGAAAGAGTGCAGAGAAGAGCAACAAAGATGATCAGGGGACTGGAGGCTAAAACATACAAGGAACGGTTGCTGGAATTGGGTATGTCTAGTTTAACGAAGAGAAGGACGAGGGGGGACAGGATAGCAGAGTTCCAGTATCTCAGGGGCTGCTCCAAAGAAGAGGGAGTCAAGCTATTCTCCAAAGCGCCTGAAGGCAGGACAAGAAGCAACGGATGGAAACTCATCAAAGAGAGAAGCAACCTAGAACTAAGGAGAAACTTCCTGACAGTGAGAACAATTAACCAGTGGAACCACCTGCCTCCAGAAGCGGTGAATGCTCCAACACTGGAAGTTTTTAAGAAGAGACTGGACAGCCATTTGTCTGAAATGGTATAGGGTTTCCTGCCTGAGCAGGGGGTTGGACTAGATGACCTCCAAGGTCCCTTCCAACTTTATCATCATCATCATCATCATCATCATCATCATTATTATTATTATTATTATTATTATTATTATTATTATTATAAAGACGTTTGCTAAAGTGTGTTGCAATCATCCCGCAAGGAAAAGAATTAACTGGCTGATTCTTCTGAGCTTCTCCCCCAGTTTGCAGATGAAGCTCTTGCCAAGAAGCTGACCTTGGCAGCCCTGGAGAGGAGTGATCAGCTTTACGAGATCCCCGGGTTCAAGGCCGAGGTGTTCAGGTGAGGGGGAGAACTTTCTAAATCAAGAGACAGGAGCTTTAGATTTGGATCCGCTCAGACCGGCTTCTACTGCAAACATCTTCAGAAACTGGAGTTAATTCTGGTCCTCTGCTTGAACCTTGGTTTGGGGATGTGCCAGGAACTCCCTTCCTCTTTGGAGAGCATCTTTACATTCTCAGACTCTCCCTTTACCCCATAGAGTGATGAGTTCCCAGCTACGAGTCTTATGCAAGCAACACCCCTCCTTGGTGGTGGAGCTGTCCAAGCCACTTCTGGAGTTTTCGGGAACGGTGTCCAACATCCAGACCAAGGAGGACCTCTTCATTCACGTGGTAAGGAGATACCTGCATGTCCCAGAGACTTCCCCCCCCCTCCCCAAATTGTCCCCTAATCCTTTTTCCATCACAGGGAACTTAAATTCATTCTTGAATGCGTTGATTTTTCTGAGCTGGCTAGACTACATGTTCCTCTCTGTTGCTGTTGCCACTAAGAGAGGTGGTGCTAACGATTATGTTCCTTTGATATCCTGCCAAGCTGCTCCGTGGAACAGTTGCAGGTCACCACAGCAGGTCAACCCAATGAGTTTACAGGTAGTCCTCCATTTACGACCGCAACAGAGCCCAAACTTTCCGTGGCCGAGCAACACGGTTGATAGGTGAATTTGGCAACCGTTTTGACGGTCGTTAAGGTCATAAAACAGAAAGGTCATTTTACGGCAAGGGTCTTCCATTCCATTCCATTCTTCTTTTCTCTTCTAGGTCTGGGCCATTGGGGAATATGCATCGGTGACCCACGATAAGCGTTGCACGGTGGAGCAGATCAACACCTTCTTTGACGTTCTGGAAGCCATGCTTTTCGAGATCACCCAGCTGCGCCCTTCAGCTAACATCCCCAGGTCGTCCCCTCGTGTGATAGCTGTCCTCATGACCGCCTTGACCAAGCTAGCTTCTCGCAGCCAGGACCTGATTCCCAGGTTTGAATGGTCCCCGATCAGTCAGTCAGTCAGTCAGTCAGTCAATCAGTCTCTCTCTCTCTCTCTCTCTCTCTCTCTCTCTCTCTCTCTCTCCCTCTCCCTCTCTCTCTCTCTCTCTCTCTCTTCCTCTCTTCCTCTCTCCCTCTGCCTCTGCCTCCCTTCCTCTCTGGATCTGTGGAGCAGTTGGTTCTCTCTGAACTTGGTTCTTTATAAACCAATTGTTGCTGCTTCCGAGTGACTTTATGCATGACTTATCTGGTCCTCTCTGCAGAGTTTGCCTGTTTCTGTCTAAGATGAAGATATTCATCCAGAGCACGGCCGTGTCCTCCGTCTACTGCGCCGAAGAAGCCGAGGCCATCCTAACCCGGGCGACAGAGCTGATGAACTTGCTGAAAATGCCCAGCGTGGCTCAGTTTGTGCTCAGACCATCCTCCGGGGACATAAGCCAGAAGGAGACCCACATCCCTTTGTTGCTTGCCATGAAGATGACCAGCCAGCTTTTGGAAGGCGGAACCGGGTCCGTTCCTGACGTGAGGAAGCTCTCAGGACCAACATAAGGTTGCTTCCTGGTGACAGGTAGATCTCGTTGATGCCTTCTCCGTTTCTGAGGACTCTTCGGGTCCTACTTCCCCATCTCCTAGCACACCTTGGTGTCTTTACCGTTGATGGCAAATGTTCACTCCATCAGCACCTCTCACATATTAAAAGACTTTATGGTATACGTCTAATAATAATAATAAAGTTGGAAGGGACCTGGGAGGTCATCTAGTCCAACCCCCTGCTCAGGCAGGAAACCCTATACCATTTCAGACAAATGGCTGCCCAGTCTCTTCTTAAAAAGTTCTGTGTTGGAGCATTCATCATTTCTGGAGGCAGGTTGTTCCACTGGTTAATTGTTCTGACTGTCAGGGAGTTTCTCCTTAGTTCTAAGTTGCTTCTCTCCTTGATTAGTTTCCACCCATTGCTTCTTGTCCTGCCTTCAGGGGCTTTGGAGAAGAGCTTGACTTCTTCTTCTTTGGGGCAGCCCCTGAGATATTGGAACACTGCTATCATGTCTCCCCTCGTCCTTCTCTTCATTAAACTAGACATACCCAATAGTTCTAGTTGAGTCCTCTAGTTCTACTTGAGTTCAACAAATTAAGTGTCCTTCACGGATGGGCGGCTTTGGGAAGGACCTCCGGCTTCCTGTTTGGGTGGGGAGGGTGGGACCTCTTGGTTCCCAGGAGCAAGGGGAGAAGTGCAGACTCCCCGTAGATCCCTCAAGGACCATCTTCCACTTCTGAGTTTGGGTCCGGATTAAAAACGGTGCTTTCATTCCACGCCTGACTTCAACCATAGAGGAGATTGCAGCTAATCCTCGCCTTGACAACAATTCATTTAGTGAACGTTCAAAGTTATAACGGCAACGGAAGAAGGGACTTATGACCGGTTTTCACACTTACGACCGTTGCAGCATCACGTGATCAAAATTCAGACGCTCGGCAACTGACTCATATTTACGACAGTCGCAGTGTCCCCCAGGAGTCACGTGATCCCCTTTCGTGATCTTCTGAGAAGCAAAGTCCATGGAGGGAGCCAGATTCACTTAACAACCGTGTTACTAATGTAACAACGGCAGTGTTTCGCTTAAAAGCGACAAGAAGGGTCGTAAAATGGAGCAAAACTCACTTAACAACCTGTCTCGCTTAGCATCAGAAATTTTGGGCTCAACTGTGGCCGTAAATCAAGGAATGTCTCACGTCCCAGGTGGTTATTCCTTGTCTCCTCCTCCCCCTTACCCGAGTTTGGAAGCACAAACGTGGACACAAGGATCTGCGATGTTCTTATTTTACTTCCATCCCGTTCTTCGACACAGAAGGGAGCAGTTCGAATCCGCCCACTAAAGTCCTTTGCAGCATTAGAATTATATACATCCCCCACCCACCTGCAAGATGCAGAGCAGATTAAGAAATACGAACGCAAAAAGGCAGCTGCCCTTAATTCTTACATGCCAAAGATTCACATTCTCTGGAAAATGAGTGACAACCTCTTTATCTCTCTCCTCAGCTTTCAGGAAATGGTGGACGAATTTGCCCAGGCAGAGGCATTCATGGTTGATGGCAGGGGTCTCCAACTGTGGCAACTTGAAGACTTGTAGACTTCCAACACCCAGAATTCCTCAGCCAGCCAGGAATTCTGGGCGCTGAAGTCCACAAGTCATAAAAGTTGCCAAGGTTGAAGACACCCCTGGTTTATTATGGTGGTACATAAGGGCGCTACTCAAGTGTCCTTAGAAGCAGGACTTTGTGGTTATGAGCAAGTTCACGATCGATCGGTTGACCCTCTGGATCTTGTTCTGTCAAGTGTCATCAGATCTGTGAGGGAGGGGATGGGATCTGTGGTTCAGGAACAGTGGGAGAGCCACATAGATCCTCCCAAATTTTTGTTCGCTATGGAGATCAATAGAAGAGATAGACAATTGATTGCAGGCCTACAAAGAACGTGGCATTAGCATGGAACAAAACAACCCTTAGCTTGGCTGAAGGGCTGGAAAGAACAAAATACCCAGCAAATTTGGAGGATTGCCAACACCATTTTAGACCATCATCCACTTCTATGGGTCTTTTTTTTTTTCAGGCCAATAATGCAGATGAAATTTGTAAGCTAGTAGAACAGATGAATTTGATGTCTTGAGGAGGATCCCTCGGCCAACTCTGGTTTCTTCCACCTATCAGATCACATGTGGAGATTATATTCTTCCAACGTTCCCCAACCCATCCTCCCCAGCTGCTTGAGATGGATTGCCAGGCCCCAGGTAGCACTGATCTCCTGATCTTGAAGATTTTGGCGCCTTCAAGCAAGCATCTGGGAAGCACCACGGTTGGGCAACGCTGACCTTTTCGATGCCACGGTCTTAATTTTCTACTTCTCCTGCAGTCCTTGGCAAGCAGCCCGGAAGAGAGTGGGTAGCTAAGCAATTAAAACCCACTTTATTTCAGGAATTATTTCTGCAGCGTTACTACCAGCCACCAATCCTGTCTGCCTTTGTCTGGGTTGGAAGCTCTTCCACGGCCTCCCCTATCGGATTGCAAAGGGACTCGGCAGCCCAACAGGGGGCAGCACGGCCTCGCCAAAGTGGCAGCCGCCCGCTTGTTGGTCTTGGCATCCATAGACAGTTGGAAGAGCTGAGCGAGGCTCTTGGCTGTTGGTCCTCAGCAATTCGAACCATCTGATGTTCCTAAGAGGAAAATCTTTGAATTTGAGTCTAGTCATACTTGAATGTCATCACCTGCCCAGGCGTTGGCCGCTGGTCTTTCAGACGCTGGCGAAGCTTATCAATGAGTTCGGTCTGAGAAGCCCCCAAATGGAATGTCCTGATCGAAGCAGGACATTAGAAGGCAGCCTTCGGGTCCTGTACAGTTGATTTTCCTGACTGTTGCACTCTGGACAGCCACTGGATGGCAGCAGAGATTTACTGTGTCGTGTATCTGCTGCTGTCTAGTGGTAATCTCGGTTAGTGCAGCCCAAATCTATCTATCTATCTTTCTTTCTTTCTTTCTTTTCTCTCCTTCCTTCCTCTTTCTTTTCCTTCCTTCCTTCCCTCCTTTTCTTTCTCTTTCCTTCCTTCCTTCCTCTTTCTTTCCCTTCCCTCCTTTTTTTTCTTTCTTTCTGTCTGTCTGTGTCTTTTTTTCTCCTATCTCAAGTGACTCTAGGTAGCAACCTACACCGTCATGTACACTCTCAGATACGATAACTTTACTGGAAAGCCCCGTGAGATTGGCTAAATTGAGAATGATCAGCCGGGAGGGGTCTTCATCCAACTCTCTAATCCCAACTCAGAATTCCTGTGACGTCCTTTTTCAGAGCTATGCCTCTTACTTCTTTTGGTTTATCCCACGGATGATCCAAAGAGAGAAATCCTGTATGCAAATTAGCCATACTAGCAAGAGAGAACCGCCCATTCTATTTTTGTTTAAATAGCCCATTTTCCCTTACGTACATAGCAACATTCCCTTCTTACTTAACCGGAGGAAGGGAATGTTTTTATAAAGCATCCATCTTTGGTTACCGGCATGCAATTATTATTTCCCAAACCTCGTTAACATGTCCTAATTTGATTTCCACACCCCGCAGCAGGCAGCTGGTTCCAGACCATTCTGAGCTGAAAAAAGGACTATTAGGGCAAAAAGCAGAATTGAAAGCTTCAGGGCCTCCAAGCACAATGGAGTACCACCACCTCAGTACTGTATCCTTAAAGTCCGTTCACTTGGTCAGTCATTGCAACAAATATCAATTGGTGCAGTGGCCAAACCAAGATATCTGCAACCGGTGAAGTCCTTAGCAGCAGCAGCAGATCCCAAGTGACCAGCTGGGACTCTTTCAAACTTTGCATTAAAAGGACTGTGTGACACAGATGGAATTCGCTGCTGCAAAGCAAAGCAGAGATGGGCTTAGCTTGTTCTGAATTCCAGTACTTGGGAGTTGCTAGAAGATCAACTTTTTCACGTCCTCTTGAAAAATGCTTTGTAGTCAGTACTGGGGCACTTGGTGGGAAACCTCTGGGTCTCAGAATACCGTGGCACTGTGTCCCCCTCCCCACACATACACACAAATTGACCAATTGCAACTCCAGGCAGCGTTCTGAACTTCCCAGTGTGTCGACTGCTGATGGTCCTACCAAGCTTACTCCGTTACCCTTGGAGCACCTTCCAACGGTAGATGAATGCCGAAGGACGCTTTTGACCAGTTTTGTTTTTACGGAGAAGGGGAAGAACTATAGCTGATCTTCTTGGCGACTTCCAGATCAGACTTGGCCACCAGGAAGCGCAGTTTGTTCCCCCCAGATCGAATGAGGTCTACAGCGCTGAAAGAAAAAGAAAGAAAAACAACTGAAAAGGACGAGAGAACTCTGAGCTACTTCTCCCATGAGACTTTCATCCGTTGCGATGGGTATCTATAGGATGAAGCTCCACCCATTAAAGGCTACAGAAATCTGGAAGTTGTCTTTGGAATATGAAGGGTCTGTATCTCTAGGCTGCATCTTGAAAACTGAATCATGCAGGGTTTTAATCGTCTTGTGTACGGAGTTTGACCTTTTTCACATACAGTCCCGGAAATAAGTTTACCCCCAAATCCAAGATTTGCGAGGGATGTTTGATATTTTCACTGGGGAGAAAGGAAATTAAAACCAACTAGCAAGGATGGACCTGGGATAGCACACGCTGCCAAATTGGGTTGCCTCCAAAGATCTCTGGACTACAGTTCCAGAATTCTCTGTCAAACGCCACCAGAGAGAAGACGCCGTCACAGATGGGTGTCCTGCAAAACCCATCAACCTTACTTTGCCCGTACCTCTGGTAATGAGAGCCAATGAGGCTCGTGCCGTTGACAGCAAGGATGCGGTCCCCAATGGAGAGTCTGCCATCTGCTGCCGCTGGGCTGTCTTGGATCAAAGTCCGAATGTAGATCCCAGGAGAACTTAAAGGGGTATGCTACAAGACAGAGGAGAGAACAGCAGAAGAACATGAGTACGTTCCAATATACCAGGTCAGCCACAAGCAGAGTAATTAAGAGAGAGAGAAGAACCCAGGACATCACAGTTGAGATGTTTCAGGTCCTCTGTGCTACCTTATTTCCATCCTTCCTTCCTAAAACAGACGTTTTTTTGGAGTCCTTCCTCAATCCAGCAGTCTCCAAGTGGGATGGACTGGAATTCCCACTGGCTACGGCGGCAGGAGGAAGATA